TTTGATGTTGTTCTGGATGCAGAATTTTGAGGAAACTATAACAGAGGCATTTTGAGGTTAGATCACCTGGCTACTTGTCTTCATTGGTGTCTCGTCCTTTTTTTCTGAAAACACATAAACTTAAAGGTAACATATATATCTGTATTAACACAAGTATGGAATGTGCAATATGTATACATAGCTGAGATGATTTTTGTTCTATGTTTGAGCAGGTAAAAGGCATCTGTTAACTTTATAGTTTGTTTGGACTATATAACCAAACCTCTATCCATGCCATATGAAAGGATGGCATATCCTAAAAAGTCATGAGGATGCTGTAGTTAATAAGATTTGTCATGTTTCATCCAATCTTAGAGATGTTCCCATAGTAGAGGGATCAGCATATACATCATCTTTCCTGTAGTCTTTCTTAGTTTCTTTTTTCAAGTCTGTAGCTAAGATTTTCAGAAGGTCTTCCCCAACCAAATCGGATCTTCATTAATTTTGCAGAGAACCATAACTTTTTGTTTCCTGTGGAAATAAAAGCATAGCCTTTACCCCAATGCAACACATTTTCTGACTTTCATTTTGAAGTTAAGATATTCTTAAACTACATGGGTTGGTTTAATTTAATAGTTTCCATAATCCAATGTCTCTCAGCAGCTATGTTTTTTATACCTTAGCATTTTAAAAATTCAAAGTCAACAAAGCACCATACAGGGTCCAGATGCCCTGCTTATTTCCCATCCTTGCATGACTTATTCTTTTTATATTACTTTATTCTTTATTTAAAGACTTTATTATTTTAAGCTATTGTCTATGACTGTCTAGGTCTCTTTTCTTTTCTTTCTTTAACATCTAAGCACATTTTTAAATATACTGTACCTTTTCAGAGGCTTTCTGTGTCTAGACCTGGCTTTACTCAGAGCCTGCAGCATTCTCTGACCATGCGAGACGAATCTTAACTACCATGTCAGCCACCGCACAGGCATAGACACAGACACAAGCTCAGCTTAGTGCATGGTGTTGGCTCCAGCCCGAGATAGCCATGCCTCTACATACCTCCGAGCACTGGCCTGCTTGAGAGACTGCAGTACTAGGAATCCACATCCAGTTCTTTGTCCAGAACTTTTCTTAGCTTTCTCAGGTCCTATGTTTGGATATTTGAGCCTCAATGTTGGGCGACATATGTAGTCAGATTTTTCTTTTCTGTCACCAGCTCTAAATAACAACATGGAGACTTCTTATTAATTATGAAAGCTTGGCCTTTAGCTTAGGCTTGTCTCAACTAGCTCTTATAACTTAAATTAACTAATATTTTTTAAATCTATGTATCTATTACCCCTCTTCTATCTTGTACCTTCTGTCTCCTCTCTGTGTCTGGCTGATGACTCTACCTTCTTCTTTCTCTATCTGAAAGCTCCACCCATACTTCCTGCCTAGCTATTGACCATTTGGCTCTTTATTAAATCAATCACAGCAATATATCTTCACATGGTGTACAAATATCCCCAAACAGGGCTATACTATTACAACAACTATCTACTCCCAGTGGCTGAAGCCCACCAAAGGTGCTTGCTTTCTTCTCCTGTGTTAATGTAGCATTTGAGAGAGCTCTGTCTTACTTCATCCTCCCTCACCTACAGTGGTTAAACCACCAAGTACAAGGAAAAGCCTCCTATTCATGTCAAGAGCTTATAGGGAAGTCTAGAGCTAGATTTCTTAGGAAGCAGATGGTGAGGCACAGTTTTCTGTTCAGAAAGTCATTGGTGATTACTGTTGGGAGAGACAGCTATCTGGAAGAGAGAGCACAGGAATGATCAGCAAGAGCTCAACTTCTACACAGATCAGCAGAAGCCTTCTTCAAGAAGCTCTTGAAGATATCGTGATATCACCATGATCCATCAGCATTGTCCCCAAATTGAGGTAAGGAAGCTTCTGCCCTATAAACCAAACAGCATTCCTCAGTAAGGATGATTCCTAGAAGGGCTCAGATGTGAATGCTCAGCAGTCAACACTCATGGCTGCAAAGAGAATAGGGACCTTGGTCCTAAAGGACAAGATCTGGATGACACATGAGAACTTTTACTGCTATCCATAGCTTGCACTGATTACATCTTCCAACTGGTACAGTAGCTTTAAGTCATCTGGGAACAGCTCCCTGGGATTCTTGTTGGTCCTCTTTCCCACTTACCACAGGAAGGGTAGAAGGGTAGTCTATAATCCAAGAGGCAGCAGTCGGCCTCAAGACTGTTTACTGTCTTAATGTGCTGTCTATTGCTGTGATAAAAGGCCACGACTAAAAACAACTTGGAGAGAAATTGGTATATTTGGTTTACAAATCCTGATCACGGTCCATCATTGAGAAAAGTCAGGGTAGGAACTGAAGGCAGGAACTGAAGGAGAGACCATGGAGGACCATGCTTACTGGCTTGTTCCCCATGGTTTGCTCAACTTATTTTCTTCCATAATTCAGGACCACTTGCCCAGGGTGGCATTGTTTACAGTGGTCTGGGCCCTCCCACATCAATTGTTAATGAACAAAATACAACCGGGCAGTGGTGGTGCACGCCTTTAATCCCAACACTTGGGAGGCAGAGCCAGGTGCATCTCTGTGAGTTCGAGGCCAGCCTGGGATACAGAGCAAGTTCCAGGAGAGGCTCCAAAGCTACACAGAGAAACCCTGTCTCGAAAACACAAACAAACAAACAAACAAACATACAAACAAACAAAAAATAGGCCACAGGCTTGTCTACAAGCCAGTCTGATGGAGACATTTTTTTAACTGAGGATCCCTCTTCTCAGATAATTCTAGCTGCGTCAAGCTTACAAACAACAACAACAAAATCCTAACCAGACAGTGACAATTATCTGCTTTATGTCCACTATTGGTTGGCTCATCAAGGTTTCTAACCTAGTAGAATAACCTAGGGCATTATCCCTGAACTTCTGGCCACTGTGATGTTCTTAGGCCACGGATACCACAGATGCCAACTTACTACCAACCATAGACCGGAGAGCACCAGGGAAGCCTGGACAACCTGCTCCTTGTTCTGCCTGATTTCACCATGTAACAGCATCCCTGTACTCCCCCGACAATTAGACAATTAGATGGTCACTGAACGGAAAATGGCGCTCGTTGTTCAGCAGAAGAGTCACTGGTTACCAGAGTTAGAATGGGCTTTATGAGAAAGAAGAGGGGATAGGACAGGAGAAGCCAGGCCTGGCGGAGAGGAAAGAGAGGTGCAGAGAGAGAGTGTGGGGGTCAGTGTGTGGCTTTTTAAGGCGGGGACACAGTCGCCTGCTGCTGATGTAATAAGGTGCCAGACAAGACCCTGAGCTGCGCATCTACAGAATCCTTGCAGTCACCCTTGATGCTTTCTGCTCTTGTGTCAGAAAATGCTCAAGGTGACAAGGCAGCCACCAGGGCTTAAAGCTTAATGAGACACTTAGTATACCCTTGGGGTGTTTCCCTTGGGAAATTAGGCTCTCTAGATCCACAAACACTGGAACAGTGATGAGCATCATTTTCCAAGTAGGGTGCTCACAATGTGTGCAAGGGCTCCACTACTTCTATACCCGTGGTTCTAGACTCACTCACTCTACCTACTGGGACTGCCAGCTCCTCTAAAGAGCCTTGATTTTGGGACACTTGTTTAGTTCATTTTGTTGCTATAACCAAACCTGAAGTGAGGTCCAAGCTCTAAAGCAGGAATGGAGACAGGTCATGGGAGACCAGGAGGTTAAAGAGAATGCTAGGAACTGTAGGCAGATAAGGCATACTTTACTCACCAGCACACAGGCTGCTAGACAGGCAGATGCTGGCAGGTTACCCAGGCAGACACTGGCACATACAGGCCACATGTAAGGGAGCACAGATACACACCCAGACTGACACACAGGGCACAGAGAGGTAGGCGTAAGTGATGGTTTTTAGCGGCGTTCTTACCCTTCGAGGAAAAGTCACGAAGCACGACAGAATCCACTAACAAGAGTTTTATTAAAACAAGGAGAGGGCTGGGGAGATGGCTCAGAGGTTAAGAGCACTGACTTCCTTTCCAGAGGTCCTGAGTTCAATTCCCAGTAACCACATGGTGGTTCATAACCATCTGTAATGAGATCTGGTGCCCTCTTCTGGCCTGCGGTCATATATGCAGTATACATAACAAATAAATAAAACTTTAAAAAAAGAATATTGCTTTTGTAATTAATGAATATCATGAATGTAATTTAAAAAATAATAAAAAAAAAAGACAAGGAGAAAGGGATAGATGTGAACAGGCCTGCGGAAGGACACATGTGAGAAGGGGGCCGGGGAACATGGGGCCTGTCTTTTTAAGGGCCAGTTCTCGCCTGCGCACACAGGACCACATGACTACTCCACGAATGTGCATAGATCACATGGTCATGCCGCCTGATTATGAGACCACGCAGCCATGGGGCTTGGGTTACGCAGGATGTATGGAAATGACTAGGTGGAAATGACTGAGTGTCCCACCAGGCACCATGGGCGCATGGTTGGAATTCCTATCAATAAGGGCCTACAGGCAGACACACACAGACTGATGAAACCATTGTCTCATAAATACATGGTGGTATTTTGCCAGGTATAATTATATAATAGATTATATCACTATTTACTTTGAGGTTCCGGGGACATCCAGTGTCATGGTGTCAGCCATCTTGTGGTGGCTCATAGCCTCCCGGATGTCCAGCATCAGGTATCTTGGCCCATGCAGGCTATCTGTGCCAGCACCATGTTGTCTAAATATGGACCAGTCCTTACAGCCCGTGTTCCTTACACTGAGGCTTGGAATTTTATAAAGAAGAGAAGTTTATTTGACTTTCAGTTCTTGTGGCTGGAAAGTCCAAACAGCATGGTGCTGGCCTAGGGCTACATTATACAGTGTGACAGTAGAAAAGGGGACCAGCCATACACAGGGGTGGCCCACAGAAGAACGGCAGGAAGACATCCACGAGGGGCCACCTAGTCACGCCTACCAACCCGGCCCACGACTGACAGAGAGTGTGATTGACACCACCTCACACAACGATCGTCTACTAGACCCCTCTTCAAGGCCACGTCACCCGAGGGTTGCCACAGTTGGAGCCAAGTTTCCAGAATGTGACGGTTCAGAGGACAAATCATGTCAAAGCCACAGCAGGTGTGACTAGTGTCCCGAGAGATGGGACATTTTGGCAGAGGCCAGCCCCCCTCCACGTCAATGTTCTCTTTGAGGGGTTACCATGGAGCACCCAGGTTTCACTCTAAGCCCACTCTGATTGGCCCCCCTCCAGCTGCTGCCTCTCATCGAAGTCCCTTCATTCTTTGGGCCCGGGCTAACCAATCTAGGTGTTTTTCACTGTCCTGAACTCTATGTATTTCTGCTTAAGGTCTCTTCCCACGCAGATGTGCTTGTCACTTCCTGTCACTGTGACAAAATGATTTAAAGGAGAAAAAGTTTCTTCGAATCCACTCTTTCAGTTCAGTCACCTGTCCCTGTTGCTTTTAGGCCCTGATGCAAAGGAGAGCGTCATGGCAGCGAGAGACCTGAGTGGGCCAAAGCCGCTCACCTGCAGTGGAGGGGAGGTGGACAGAGAGCAGATCTCAGGATGAGGTATGTCCTGCCCCTCCTCCAACTAGGGTTTCTCCTCTCGATAGCCCCCTCAACTGTGAATAATAATCAACCGCTAATCCATTGGTAAAGTTCATGACCTCACACTCCAGTCACTCTTTTTTTTTTTTTTTTTTTTTTTTTTTTTTTTTGTTTTTTTTTTTTTTTTTAGATTTATTTATTTATTATGCATACAGAAGAGGGCGCCAGATCTCATTACAGATGCTTGTGAGCCACCATGTGGGTGCTGGGAATTGAACTCAGGACCTCTGGAAGAACAGTCGGTGCTCTTAACCTCTGAGCCATCTCTCCAGCCCTCCAGTCACTCTTATTGCCACCAGGTGGGGACTAAGTCTTCAAAAAGCCTTTTAAAGAGGCAATTCACGTCTGAGTGAACACCATTAAACGATCACACACTCTGTCCACTAGGAGGATTTCCCGTCATCATTGTTTTTCCAGACCACCCTGAGACTGTGTGGACTGCTAAAGCAGTCCATTTTGGGGCGAAGACCCCCTAAACTGAAACATTTTTTTTTTTTTTTTTGGTTTTTTGAGACAGGGTTTCTCTGTGTAGCTTTGCGCCTTTCCTGGAACTCACTCTGTAGCCCAGGCTGGCCTTGAACTCACAGAGATCTGCCTGGCTCTGCCTCCCAAGTGCTGGGATTAAAAGCATGCGCCACCACCGCCCTGGCTAGTGGCCACACATTTTATCTAAGGGGGAGATATTGGCACAACATTGGTGAACAGTGTGGGTAAATGTGTTCATCATTTGTGCCACACAGAGCAGCTTTTGGTATTGCACACTATCCCTTGGTGACTCAAGGCTGACGGTCTTCAGGGTTTCCTGGTTGAGTAGTCTGATTCTTCCTTGTCCCTGAAAAGGCTGTGGGTGGAAGGTATGGTCCCTAGCCTGTGACATCATGGGGGGTGATGCAACCTTTAAGAGGTAGGGCCCAGTGGAAGGAAGGCAAGTGACTAGGAGTGTGTCCTTGAATGGGATAAGTGGGAACCTGACACATGCATCCCCCTTCCTCCTTCCCTCCCCCCTTCACTTTTAGACACTGTGGGAGCCTCAGTGACTCCATCTTGTGGCTTAATTCCATCTTGACTTAAGATCAGAGAGCTCAAGCTTGTTTTTGCTCCTCGAGGCTGAATAACAGGAGGTGTTTACACTTGTCTATTCCTTGGACCACAGTAAAGAAGAATTTTTGCCCCCTTGCTTGGTGTATAAAAAGGCTTTGAGAAATAAATTCAGGGGTGCTGCAGTATTCACTGAGAACCTTCCCAATTCTATCTTCTGTCTCTGTCTCTTCCTAATCCTCACTCCCCTATTCAGGTACTGTTCGACAGGTCGGCTGGTCCCGACAGGACACCCTGAGGTAAGCAGCCTCTCTGTCACATGCTCCCACCCTAATGCTCTCGATCATAGACCGGCCCTTCTGAAACTGAGCCCAAATCAACCTTTTGTCTTTTTAAGATGACTTCTCTAAGATATTTTGTTACAGTAACAGGAAACTGGCAAACGTGCTTTGCAAACAGACAGGACAGGGTCACTAGGTGATGCTGAAGAGGCTCTCCAGGTGCCGGGCTTCCTCCTGGGTGGTGGGCGATGTGAGACACAGTGTCTGTGCTTTGTTTCCAGAGGATATCCCTTTCTATCCCACCCCACAGGGCCTCACGTGAGGGCCATGTATTAGGTGTTGTACGACATCTGGGCACTGATGATGTTAGCATTGAGCATGTGATAAGATGGTACCTGCCAGGTTTCTCCTTTGTGAGATTTGATATGTCACCCTAGGAGTTGAACAAGCATCTGATAGAACAAGCACTTTCATTCTACACAAACGTCCTCTTTGGTATCAGACTTTATCCGTTGATTTTTCACATCCATTCACAATTTTTACCTGTAATAATTATCACTGTAGTGTTTACCAAGTGGCAACTTTTCTATTTTTAACCTTTCTATACTTATTACTTAGAAATGTTCTAAAAGGAAGAATGATCCCTTCTTCATTTCTTTATTTAGTAAATGATTTTATTTATATTATTAGAAGCTTGTGCCTAGTTCTGTAGGTTGAAATCCATTACCACCATTGCTCAGATTACCCCAGCTTTGGCAGCTGAGAGATCTTCAGAGTTAATCACTTCCTTACAGAGGAACACTGTTAATTGCAACTGACTGGGGACACTGTCTCTGTCCACTGCAGCTTTCCCGTCACAGCTCCCTATGCCAAATGGTGCTGTAGAACCCAGGGCATTTGGGATGTGGGGTGAGGGGAAGGCGAGTTGGAGACATCGTAGATTTTATTTATTGGAATGTCAGTAATTATGTGGCTCAAATAACAATCGCTTCCATGTGTAAGTGAGTTTATGTTTGTGATCTGATGCAGAAATGGCACCCAGGGATACTTCTGCCCAAATATTCAGAGCTGGAAGGTTCCTTTTGATGTGAACATACCTTTAGCTCCCAACACTGCAACTATGTGGCTCAAGCTTACTTTTTTTTTTGCATTTTTTTTTTACTTTTTTTTTTTTTTTTTTTTTTGCATTTTTGAAACTCAGAAGGGAAATTTAAACACAAGAAGAGTCCACCTACAAATTCACGAGCCCAGTGTGCCATTTTAATTTAACCTGTGAGACTTTCTGGGTTCATTGAATAAAAAGAAGAGTATAATGGTCGGGTGGTAGGGCACCTGCTGACACCGGAGTTCCTGAGTTTGGTCCCTGGAATTCACAATGTGGATGGAGAGAACTGACTTCTATAAGTTGTCCTCTGACCTCCACATACATGTTGTGACATGCTCACCTACCTATGCACATACAACCCTCCCTACAGAATTAACAACAAAAAAGTTAAAAGGGAAGAAGAGACGGGAGTGCCTGCTTCCCACTTGTTCTGTGTCAGGAGAGGGCACAGCAGACAGACAGACAGACCACCATCTGTGAGCCAGAAACTGGCCCTCACCAGGCAACCATTGGCTGTGCTTCACCTGGGACCATTAGCTTCTAGAACTGTGGGAATGTCCATATGTGCTAGGCATGGTGGTACCCATCTTCTAAAATCCCAGAACTCGGGAGGCAGAGGCAGAGGCAGAAAGATTGCTCTAAGTTTAAGGCCAGCCTGGTCTACATAGTGAGTTCCAGGCCAGCTTGGGCTATACAGTGAGATCTTATTTCAAACGCCAAAGTAAATAAGTAAATTTTACAAAAGTTAGAAGAAAATGTAGACTTCCAATTTGAAATACAAAGGATACATTCTTTTGCCATCTCTAAATATATTTACCAAGTAATGGAGAGAAATTTCAACAAGAGTTAATGAAACAAAGGAAAACAATGAAATGAATAGAAATTATCCTGACATTAAGAACAGAATTACAACCAAAAAATGTTTTATTGGACCAAAAGTAATAATTTGAGAGAGAGAGAGAGAGAGAGAGAGAGAGAGAGAGAGAGAGAGAGAAGAGTGAGTTTTCCAGTAGACTAGAAATGCATAGACTCTTGAGTTGTTTAGTAACCCAGTTAACGAAAGGAGTGAGTCACCTGATCCACGGGGACAAGATTGACAGTTCTTATTGTTTATGTGAGAACAGACACCTAAGAGGAGAATCCACGGTGAGGTTTGGTAAACCTCAAACCCTGCCAAACCCTGATGTGCTTAAAGTCTCATTATCATACAGGAAGGAAAACCTGTGAGAAGTTCCCTTTAAACTCACAGCATTTACAAACGTTTACATGATATTCTATGTGAGCATGAAGGAATGCGGAAGTGTCATTTATGTGCACAAATAAACCTGACCAAACATGTTCGAAACACGGCTGACCTCCTCATCTTCTTTCTGACGGTACTTCACAGTGCTGGCTCCATTGGGAGATGTCACCCAGAGGGTACAGCTCAGAAAGCAATGAAAAATTTTGTAGTCGTGTGCTAAGAAGCCATAGGTACTGCATAATTTTTCTAGATTTTGTTGTGTTCGTGGCATTTATCAGCATTTTAAAGATTTTAATTTTGCTGTTCTTTCTTTCTTCCTTTCTCTCTCTTTCTTTCTTTCTTTCTTTCTTTCTTTCTTTCTTTCTTTCTTTCTTTCTTTCTTCCTTTCTTTTCAAGACAAGGTTTCTCTATGTAATAGTTCTGACTGTCCTGAAACTCACTTTGTAGACCAGGCTGGCCTTGAACTCACAGAAATCCACCTGCCCCTGTCTCCAGAGTGCTGGGATTAAAGGTGTGTGCCACCATTGCCCAGCTCTGCTGTCATTTCTTTAATCTTTCTAAATAGTGACTTCCAAAGCTCACTTTGTATGACTCTCTTGTTCTTCTTTTACTTTTAAAAAGTTTTCCAAAGGCCAGGTATGGAGATGCACACCTTTAATCCCAGCACCCAGGAGGTAGAGGCAGGAGGATCTCTGTGAGTTCAGGGCCAGCCTGGTCTACAGAGTAAGTTCCAGGACAGGAGAAGACTACACAGAAAAACCCTGTCTCGAAAAACCCAAACCAAAGAAAACAAGGCATATTTCAAAAAAGCACTCACTTCTTGGGGTCATGACACGTGGCATGCAGGTACAGGTAGGGAAGTGGAGCCATTGCTGCCAGGCCCAGGGATGGAGGATCCCAGGGGAAACAGACCTTTTCACCCCTTGGCAATTGATGTCGTGTCCTCCACTTACCAGGTGTGAAGTGGTTGCTGGGAGAATTAATGTGTGTTTATGCAACATGTTCACAGGGAGTGTGAAGCCCTGCTGCCACCAGCTTTATTCTCCAGATGGAAACTGATGGTAGAGGGTGATATGAAGAAGTTGAACCACGCTGAAGGAGCTGCTGGTACTGTTATTTCTCATCTTGATATAATAAATGAGTGTTCTGGGGTCTCCTCAGAATGGTTTTTCAGTGGGGTTGGGATGTGGGTCTGGGGGAGGATGCTCTCCTGGATTGCATGAGGCCTGGATTAAATCCATAGCACCACCACAGACACAGACGAGCCAGCCTCAGGACCGTGAGTTCCTCTAAAAGCCCACGTTAGACATGGAGCTTAGCCTGTGGTTTTAGTCTTCTCCCCACTGCTCTCCCTTCAGAGAAGCCTTGTTACTCTTGGCTACTCATCCACGTTGATCTCTTCCGTAGAGAGCCCTCCTCCTTTCTCTCCCTCAGTCCACAGGCAGCTCAGATACCGCCGGTTCCAGAAGGTTGCCCAGGTACCACCCATGCTCCTCCTCTGTGCTGATGTTATTATTAGTCTTATTCCATTTGGGCTAGGTCACTTACAAACAACAGAAATGTGTATTTTTCCAGCTCTGAAGGCCGGGAGGTGGGGTTTGAGGTGTCTGTAGCTCTAGAGTCCATCAAGTGCCCCTTCCTGGTTCTGATATGGTAGAAAGGTGACCATACTCCCTGGATAGGCTACTAATCTCATTCAGTTGGGATTTGCCTCATGACCTAATCACTTCCACAAAGACCTACCTCTGAATGCCATCACCTTCAGATGTGGGACTTCAACATAGGAATTTGAGGAGGCCACAACATAACAAAGGACTGTCTATTCCTCTATTCCATTTACTATTGTATCTGTTTTTCTCTGGGTATGGGAGGCCAGCTACCACCTTTTGAAGGGTTCTTATGAGAGAAGGGTAAGAAAATATTAGATAGAAAGAGAGATCTAGTTGACGAGAAGAAAGACAGAAACACAGGATAGCTTCAGGAGGGCCTGGATCAATACCCAATGGCCTTTTCCATTTATTCAAAAGGGCTTCTTATAACAATGTCAAGGGGAGGGGCAAAAGAACTCCCCCTTGCAAGATCAAAGCATACTACACAGCCAAGTATAGACCTTTCCAAACAACTGTTAACCGTGTCCATAGACAAATCATCCCCTTATGTAGCCCTGCTAGGTTAAACAGGCTCAGATTCTCAGACCCTGAGTAAGTTCTCACTAGGAAACCTCTGTGGGTCTCCACATCTGGGAAAACAACACTTATTGTCTGCCTCAAGTACAACTATTTGTATACATGTTTCCTCTAGGGCTGAGGGCCCAAACCTGACTCATTACATCCTCATAGTGATCCACAAAATAACACATGCAAAAGGAGTAGTTACATCAGTGTGAGCATTAATTTTTCTGGTGCATTTTAAGGACCCAGCCTAGGTTCTGCCACAATGCAACTTCCAAGAGGATCCTTTGTAATAAACATGCAGATGTAAGTCAAGCATTTCTCCAAATCCTCTTGGTCTTAAAAGCAGACGACCGCCTGCCGAAAGACAGCTGTGAGGACCTCTGGTGTGTGGTGACAGGAAATCAGTGTTCAAAACGGGACCGATCTCATGAGTTCGACTTTCCCCACAGAGCACCTGCACTAACACAGAGTATAGAGGAGAAAGAAACAATTGGGGTTTTTCCTGTAATCAGTCTGTCTTTCTCCAGGGCCTCTTAGAATGCACAGCTCTTCCCCCCCCCCCACCCTCGCGCACGCTCCCAAGTGTGCTCAGTGGACCACAGCATGGGATGCAGGCAGTGGCTTCACACAGCCCAAGGCACACCTGGGCAGACGGAAGTTAAGGGAAGCTCCATCCAGCTACGTGGGAGCAGTACTGAGTGACAGAGAGGTCAAGTGGGCCTGCACCCTGTGAGGAAGCAGGCTCTGGCAAGCCTGGCATTCAAACTGAGCCTGAGATACCTTTTGTTATGGTTGCCATGGAAACAATTAGCTGTCTATCGCCGTGTAACAAAATGCCACACAACTTAGTGGCTTAAATAACCACTTTCTGTTATCTTGAAATGTTTGTGGGTCAGGGATTCGGGAGTGGCCTGGATGCCTGCTTCTGGCTCGGGTCTTTCCTGAGGGAGTCTGTGACAGTTAGCTTGACTTAGAGTCATGGGTCTGCTTCTAAGGTGACTCACTGGAACACCTCAGCTCCTCACCAGTGAGCTTCTCCCCGAGGCTGTCTAGGTGTTCTTCTGAGGTGGCAGCAGGCTTCCCAAAGAGTATGAGCTCCAAAGGAGAGAGCAAGGCAAAAGAACAAAAATGTTTCTACAGCCCAGCCTTGAAAGCCATATTCCGTCATTTCCACTACATTCTACTGATGAGCAGTGAGTCACCCAGAACAATCCACACTCAAGAGGAGAAAAATTAGTCTGCATTGAAGGAAGGCATTTCAAGAATGTGTGGATTTATTTTAAAAACACCCCAAGCCTCTTCAGTGCTGACTGACTGATTGCCTGGTGCGTTCCAGGCAGTGTGGTTGTGTTCCTAACCACCAGCAGCCCAAGCCTGAGCCCGTTTGCTAAAGTTACTCAAACCCCAGGAGTCACTGCCCTTGTCCATCCCTGGGAGGGAGCTCAGCCCAGGGCAACACCCTCGTCAGTCACTGTGCCTTGTCAGTAAGGCTGGTTGTTCACATCCCAAACTACGATGACCTCCACCCCCTGTAACACCGTCAGGGCCTTCTCTGGAGGCCATCATCTGTCACGTTGGACAGCAGTGGGAAGGTGGAGCATGGAGTCCTCCCACGTGTTCAGGAGGCCCCATCCCACACCAGCCAGCTCTGCCAAGTCAGAGAGAGAGAGAGAGAGAGAGAGAGAGAGAGAGAGAGAGAGAGAGAGAGAGAGAGGAAAGGACCTGCGAGGGAGCTGCCACTCAACCAAAGAGCCACCCAATGAGCTCTGCTCTGCCGGAGGAAGGCTGCTCTCTGTCAGCCGCCCACACTCCCACAGGCTCGGATGTGGCTCTCCTGCATTGCAAGGCACAGGCCTTCACGAGGCTGGCTAGTCTGGGTCTTTGTAAGGGGCTGTGCTGGAGTCGTTATTGGGCAGAACCCTTGGATTCTGAAGTTTGCATGGTTAAAGGTTAGCTTTGTTTAGCAGTCAATTGTCTGTGGCTGAGGTGGGGCACGGTTCAGAATGGTCCTGTGGAACAAGTATATACGCCACACAGTAGACTCAGTTTACCTTCAGCTGTCTCTCTACTTGGCTGTTATTCTGAGTCAAGAGTCAGGAGGGAAGGGAGAGTGAAAGGGTAACAGAAAGGATTTGCTTAAGTGACTTCAGGAGGTGTGTGTGTGTGTGTGTGTGTGTGTGTGTGTGTGTGTGTTCACATGTATGTGTGTGTACATGTGTGTATGTATTGTCTGTGTGTGTAGGTGCATGTGTGTATATGTATGTGTGTGCATGTGGTGTATGTGTGTGTACATGTGTGTACATGTGTGTATGTGTGTATATATCTGCTGTGGGACGGTCTGTATGTCAAATGTGTTGCTCTGATTGGTCAATAAATAAAACACTGATTGGCCAGTAGCCAGGCAGGAAGTATAGGTGGGACTAACAGAGAGGAGAATTGAGAGAACAGGAAGGCAGAGTGAGACATTGTCAGCCACAGCCATGATAAGCAGCATGTGAAGATGCTGGTAAGCCATGAGCCACATGGCAAGGTATAGATTTATAGAAATGGATTAATTTAAGATGTAAGAACTAGATAGCTAGAAGCCTGAGCCATTAGGCCAAACAGTTTAAATAATATAAACATCTCTGTATTTGTTTTATAAGTTGGCTGTTGGACTGCCGGGGCTTGGTGGGACCCGGAGAGAAAACTCTCCAGCTACATGTACCTGTGTGTGTCTCTGTGTATATATTTGCATGTGTGTGTATGTGTATATATATGTGTGTGTGTGTGTGTGTGTGTGTGTGTGCATGTATGTGTGTGTGTGTGTGTGTGTGTGTGCATGTATGTGTGTGTCTCTGTGTATATATTTGCATGTGCATGTGTATATATGTGTGTATGTGTGGGTGTATGTGCATGTATGTATGTGTCTGTGTGCATAGAAGTGTCTCTGTATGTGTTTGTACCAGACTATATGGGATCTTTAAAACTAATACTCAAGGGTACAGGTGATCTGATGGAGGAAAATAGAAAAAATGGGGAGATGACCTCGAGCTAGGGAGTGGGAGATAGATAAAGACAGAAGAAGAGGGATGGATAAAATAAGATAAGGCTCTCTGGGAAAGTCATAAGGAATCTTACTATTAATACCTTTCTTTTCCATTTCTGTGCTAAGACACCATGGCCAGGACAGCTTGTAAAATAAAGCATTTGGTTTGGTGCTCACTGTTCTAGAGGGTAGGTCCCTGACCATCCTGGCGAAGAGCATGGCAGGCATGCATGGTGCTGGAGCAGTAACTAACATCTTTATCCATAAGCACTAGGGAGAGAGAATTAACTGGGAATGACCTGGGTATTTGAAACCTTAAAATCTACCCCCAGTGACACATCCTCCAACAAGCCACACCTCCTAATCCTTCCTAAACAGTTCTACTTACCAGGAACCAAGTATTCAAATCTATGAGTCCAGGGGAACATCTCATTTACAGCCCATAATTAACTATCTATCTAAATAGATCTATAATACACATTAAGTCACTGTATAAATATACATATATAGTTTAAATGAAAATTTCCCACCTGGGCTAACAATGCAATTCCAGAGCCAAAGGCCCCAAACCCCCAACAAAAACCCCAACACCACATGTGAGAAGTCCTCTTTTCTCCTGAAACATTACAGTAGCTACTGCCCTGGGTTGCCCTGCCCCTCCCAGAGGTGAAAGGTAAGTCCTTACTGCTGAAGGCAATAACGCACTTCAGGGCTCAGAGGCCTTGAGCTGAAAATGACCTAACTGGCTTCCCCTAAGCACTAACTTTCATGATATCAGGAGGCACCACACAGGTTTCCAAAGGAAGGAAGTGACCAACAGTCCCACCCAGCCATGATGCCTATGAACCCCAACAATGACCAGCAAGCATGGTGCCATAACTCCAAGTGTTAACTTAGTGGCATGCATACCTTGGTGGCAGCCAACAGCTCTCTGATTGAATTTA